CCTTAAAGAACTGAAGATGAACCAAAAGAGACTGTGGACTGTGAAGAAATAACTGAGGGTTCTGGAGGGGAGAGGATAGGAGGTTGAGCCTGGAGGTGGGTATTGTGGAGGACATGTATTGCATGGTGTACTGGGTGTGGTGCATGAACTATGAATTCTGGAACACGGAAAATAAATAAAAAAATAAAAATTAAAAAATAAAAATAATACACAAATAAATACTTAGGTCAAATACAAAGATTTTAAAGGATTGAATAAATGAGTAAATTCCATTACACTCTCTCTCTCTCTCTCTCTCTCTCTCTATATATATATATATATATATATATATATATATCAAAAGAACTAGAGAATCAACAAGAAATTAAGCCAACTCCACACACAAGAAGGGAAATAATCAAGATTAGAGCAAAGATCAATGAGGTAGAAACTAGAGATAAAGTAGAGTACATCAACAAAACTAGAAACAGGTTTTTGAAAGAATCAACAAGATGGATAAACCATTTGCCAAACCAATTCAAAAGAAGAGAGAGGACCCAAATTAATAAAATTATGAATGAAAAGGGAGAGATCACAACTAACACCAAGGAAGTAGAAACAATCATCAGAAGTTATTATCAGCAGTTATATGCCAATAAGCTAAGCAACCTAGATGAAACGGATGCATTCCTGGAAAACTATAAACTCCCAAAATTGAACCAGGAAGAAATCGACAACCTGAATAGACCAATATCTAGTAACGAGATTGAAGCAGTGATCAAAACCTCCCAAAAAACAAGAGCCCAGGACCTGACGGATTCCCTGGGGAATTCTACCAAACGTTCAAAGAAGAAATAACACCTATTCTCCTGAAGCTGTTTCAAAAAATTGAAGCAGAAGGAAAACTTCAGGATTCCTTGTATGAAGCCAGATTACCCTGATCCCCCAAGCAGGCAAAGATACCAGCAAAAAGGATAATTCAGACCAATATTCCTGATGAATATGGATGCGAAGATTCTCAACAAGATACTAGCTAATAGGATCCAACAGTACATCAAATAGATTATCCACCATGACCAGGTGGGATTCTTCCCTGGGTCGCAAGGGTGTTTCAACATTTGCAAATCAACCAATGTGATAGAAAAAATCAGTAAGAAAAGAGAGAAGAACCACATGGTCCTCTCAATTGATGCAGAAAAAGCATTTGACAAAATCCAGCATTCGTTCCTGATTAAAACCCTTCAAAGTATAGGGATAGAGGGAATATTCTATAATTTCATAAAATCTATCTATGAAAAACCCACAGCAAATATCTTCATCAATGGAACAAAGCTGACAGTCTTCCCTTTGAGATCAGGATCACAACAAGGATGCCTACTCTCCCCACACTTGTTCAACATAGTATTAGAAGTCCTAGCAACAGCAAACAGACAACAAAGAGAAATAAAAGGTATCCAAATTGGCAATGAAGAAGTCAAACTCTCTCTCTTTCACAGATGAAATGATTCTTTATATGGAAAACCCAAAAGACTCCACACCCAAACTACTACAACCCTTACAGCAGTTTCAGTGACATGGCAGGATACAAAATCAATGTACAGATATGACATGTTTTCTTATACACCAACAATGAAAATACAGAAAGAGAAAATTAGAGATCTGGTTCCATTTACTATAGCACCAAGAACCATAAGATACCTGGGAATAAACCTAACCAAAGAGGTAAAGGATCTGTATTCAAGGAACTACAGAACATTCATGAAAGAATTTGAGGAAGACAGAAAAAGAGGGAAGACCATTCCATCCTCGTGGATCAGAAAAATAAACATTGTTAAAATGTTTATACTGTCTAGAGGAATCTATACTTTCAATGTCATTCTGATCAATATTCTACTGGCATTTTTAAAGAGCTGGAACAAACAATCCTAAAATTTGTATACAACCAGAAGAGACCCCGAATTGCTAAGAAAATGTTGAAAAAGAAAAACAAAACTGGGGCATCCCATTGCCTGATTTCAAGCTTTATTACTGTTGGGGTCCATCTTCAAAGGAATGAGACAGAGGCAAAGTGAAAGTTATGCAAAGCTTTATTCTATGCCAAGCATTAGAAGTCAGACTGACCAGCCAGGGCTGCCTCCAAAGAGAGCGACCCCACCCCAATCTCACAGGCTGGTTTTATATGGCATAACCGCAGACCTCAAGGTACGTGGCTTCTATTGTTAAGGCATTTACTCCCGGAATTGATACCCAGAACTGACACCAGGAACTACTGGGGCGTTAATTCCCAGAATGAAGTCCATGGATGTAAACAACAATATTGCTAACTAAGCAATATGGAGTCGTTCTAGCTAAGCAGGCCCTAATAGTTAAACAGACTTCAACATTAAATCGGCCCTAACAATTACAAAGCTGTGATCACCAAGACAGCATGATAACTGGCACAAAAACAGACACATAGACTAGTGGAATAGAGTAGAAAGCCCACATATGGACCCTCAACCTTTATAGTCAACTAATCTTCAACAAAACAGGAAAAAATATAGAGTGAAAAAAAGACAGTCTCTTCAATAAATGTGCTGGGATAATTGGACAGCAATGGGTAGAAGAATGAAACTTGACCATTCTCTTACACCATATATAAAGATAAACTTGAAGTGGATAAAAGACCTCAACATGAGGCAGGAATCCATCAGAATCCTAGAGGAGAACACAGGCAATAACCTCATCAAAATAGGACACAGCATCTTCTTTCAGGACATGTCTCCAAAGGCAAAACAAACAAAAGCAAAAATGAACCTTTGGGACTTCATCAAGATCAAAAGCTTCTGCACAACAAAGGAAACAGTCAACAAAACAAAGAGGCAACCCACAGAATGGGAGCAGATATTCGCAGATGACACTACAGACAAAGGGCTTATATCCAAGATCTATGAAGAACTCCTCAAACTCAACACACACAAAACAGATAATTATTTCAAACAATGAGCAGAAGACATGAATAGACACTTCTCCAAAGAAGACATACAAATGGCTCTCAGACACATGAAAAAAATGTTCATCATCACTAGCCACCAGGGAGATTCAACCACTTTGGGATACCACCTCACACCAGTTGAATGGCCAAAATTAACAAGACCATAAAAAACGTGTGTTGGAGAGGATGTGGAGAAAGGGGAACCCTCTTACACTGTCGGTGGGAATGCAAGTTGTTGCAGCCACTTTGGAAAAGTGGAGATTACTAAAGAAATTAAAAATAGAGCTTCCCTATGACCCTTCAATTGCACTACTGGGTATTTACCCCAAAGATACAGATGTAGTGAAAAGAAAGGCCATCTGCACCCCAGTGTTCATGGCAGCAATGGCCACAGTCGACAAGCTGTGGAAAGAACCAAGATGCCCTTCAACGGATGAATGGATAAAGAAGATGCAGTCCATATACACTACGGAGTATTGTGCCTCCATCAGAAAGGATGAATTCCCAACTTTTGTATCAACATGGACGGGACTGGAGGAGATGGTGCTAAGTGAAATAAGTCAAGCAGAGACAGTCAATTATTATATGGTTTCACTCATCTGTGGAGCATAAGAAATAACACGAAGGACATGGGGAGCTGGAAAGGAGAAGGGAGTTGGGGGAAATTTGAGGGGGAGACAAACCATGAGTGACTGTGAACTCTGATAAACAAACTGAGGAATTTGGACAGTAGGGGTTGGGAAGTTGGGTGAGCCTGGTGATGGGTATAATTAAGGAGGGCACGTATTGCATGGTGCACTAGGTTTGGTGCATAAACAATGAATTCTGGAACACTGAAAAGAAATTTTAAAAAATTAAAATTTAAGAAAAAATAAAAACAAAACAGGTGGCTTCCTTGGATTCTGAGCTTCCACTTTGGGGAAGTGAGACCTACATATTGATTTTAACTAAAAGTGCGGTTTCAGTACACCCTGAAATGGAAGTGGAGTCCCAGAATTTATGATGAACAAATCCCAGAAAAAAAAGGGGATATGATTAACCAGGGAAGGGGTGGTCTCATCCTAGGTCCCCAAGGAGGTAGCAAGCACCTAATTACATAGGGGTGCATGCGGCTGAAGTTCCTAATATTTCACAGGCCCATCTCTTTGTGGTTATTTTTAAAGATTCCTGGGTGAAACAGAGATGGAATTCCAGGCAGGCCGTTATGTAAGGATGATGAGCAGTGAGTGTTCCTGGGACTCTGTGTCCCATGTCCAGGCAGCAGTTCAGAACAAGTTGATTTTCTTACCACACCTGTACAGCTGCTGTCACTGCTCAGCTTCCTGGAATGCAGAGTAAGAAGGAAGTGAGGGATGATCTTCCTAGAGTTCTCTCTGGATTCCAGAGTCATTAATTGGAACTTCTGCTTACCTTTCTGATTGATTTCATAGGATGCAACATTCAGGATCATGGTCTCAGTGTTCATTATTCAGAAACATTCTATCCAGGATGGCATAGCTTGCACTAGGTCTTGTACTCAGAAAATTACTCTCCCTGGTGGTGCAACTTGCACTAGTTTGGATCACACCTGAATCACCCTTCCTGCCCAGAGCCACCCCAGTATGGGACAGACAGCATGGGTGTCGAGTAGCCTTCCATCACCCTGAGCACTCTTTGGGACTGGAGAAGGAGAGATTATCTAGACAATGAGAAAATCCTCGCTGGTAATGAGCACCATTTTGTAAAAATGTAATGAGTTTTCCCTGAAGGAGCCTGTTGCAACTTCCCTTAATTCTGCACCCAGGGACTTCACCCCAGCTGCTGACTCAGGTACACTGGACACTGGGCAGTGTCTTGGGATCAATGTGGGCTCTTATAGTCTTACAAAAACATCGAGAACCCAGAATATGCACTTTTCACAATTTATTTCAGAGTGCTTGTCAGTGATCTGTCACAGACTTGGTGTGAGAGTCAGGTGATATGTGTTGGTAACACTATGTCTCCTGCAGACCTCTCCTAACATTAGCCACCTCCTCACTGTAGTTTCACTCATGCTCCTGCAGATTGCCTATTGTTTTTCAGGGGTCTCGAGGCTGATACCAGGATTGACTTCATCAGCTTTCTCTTCCACAACTTTAACTGTCTTGATTGTTCTTACATTTGTGGCGATGCCAAACAGGAATACAGCTATTAAGGCATAAATGCGACCAAAGACCACTCTCAGATATATCAGAGATTCATTACTTTGCCTGACTGACCGCATTTTACGTGGAGGGGGTCCACTGTCTGTGCTCCCACCAGCACCTCTATCAATGCAGTGTGGAGGATCCCAGCCTATGTGACAATGACAGTTCTTGTTATTGTTGCAAATCCCCCTGTGACTGCATTTCTCAGGTAAACAGTCATAATTCAGCTGAAGATCCCTGGCAATGCAGAAGCCATCTATACAGACCTTTTCACGACCACAGGGGGTACCTGGTCTCACGTGACCAACATCATTTGCTCCTGTGGAGCGATGTGAGTCCAGTCCAAAACACCAGAATCCTGAGATTAGAGACTGATGGAATCCCACATGTTCTTGCAAGCGGGGGAGGTGTGTGACATTACCACACTGCAGCCTTCCACAATAAATGTCTCCGATGGAACAGGCATAAGGTTGAAATAACCGTTCGTCTCTTCTGCAGTGCCCATATCTATTGCCTTTTATATTTATGGTATAGCAGGCATCTGCACCTTTCACAGCATTTTTGCCAAAGATTTCCTGGCAGTGCACAGTGCGGTCAGTGCAATTTCCGTGATAGCAGTAGCCCACTTCGGTGCATGGGGTTCCATCTTGCATATAGAAATCATCAGGACATGCCAAGGACTCCCCACGGCAGTACTCGGGAAGATCACACATATTTTGGATTGGTCTGCAGAGTGTCCCAGGAGGGGAATAGGTGCAGTTTGTACAGCACCTGCCTGTATTGCATTTGCTGCCACTGGTGAATGAACAAGCATTCGTACAGCAGGGGTTGTTGTAACACTGTTTGAAGGAGCCACAGTCACACTCCTCACCTCGATCCACTATGCGGTTTCCACAACGATCATGGGTCAAGCTTTTATTTGAATATACCATTTGGGTGCTGAATAGACACTGACCTAACCCAGCACCCACTATGTGCTGTACGTGAGTATAGGAACAGTTACTGAAGGAATCTGTCAGAGAAGGTTGTCTGTGCATAATGCACAGGGACCTTCTCTGGCAAGTACAAGTATTCTCATCATAGTATAGACCTAAATTTCTTGCCACCTTTTGTGCTCCTGCAATTGACAATATTAAAAGGTGTCTGCCTAGGTAACCAAGCATGACAAGGTTTCGATTATTGCATATACCATATAAGACAGGGTCATAATTAAGATCCTTTGGCCCATCTTTAATCACAATTATGGACGAATGTGGTATGACAAATCTGTACACAGCAAACTGATAGTGTCTAACATATGGACTATACTCTGCATTATAATTATTCATGAAAACTGGATCTCTCTGGTTATAAATCATAATGAATCCAATATAGTAATTCATATCAATACCTTGAAGGAATGTATCAATTAAACTACATATCTTTATCAGGAATTGGGCACATTTTGACACGTTGTTGAACACAGTATACATTGAGTGGGAACTTAGGGCAAGTGCTTTCATATTTCCATTATGGGATGAATACATCTTACTAGAGATCCTGGGGACAACACTGGCATTTGCTTGAGAGAAAAGGGGGTCCATAATCTCCTTATGTCCCAGTTTATAGGTAGGTGCCATCGTATTTGTATCTGTCACTATCTGAGAAACAACGTGTTCAAACCTTTGGGAATTGCTGAGGGGTTTGATTTCATAAGCAAAGTCATCCAACTTGATGATACCTTCAAGACCCCCATAGCATGTGTCCACGGTGACCATGGAAAGAGGAATCTCCTCCAGGTAGCCGAGGTAGTAACAGTCTGGAGGGATGAAGGGATAGTCCATCTGCAAGGCTCCTTGGTCGTCCTGAGTCATCATCAGCAGATGTCTGGACCAAAACAGTTTCTTGCGCCGCATGTGGATAATGTGTCTCCTGTCCCCAAAACGTAGGCTGTAGGACAGCCAGCCTGGCATCCGAATGCCTTTGCCATGGTGCAGCTCCTTCCTGGGAATGACCACCTCAGAGGAGATGTAGTGCCATGATGGACGGCCTTGAGAACATTGGACAGGAGCCAGCCCTGCCCAGACAGCAAGGAGCAAGAGAAGTGCCTTCATGGTGACCTGACCAGCCAGGCTCAGGCCCCTGCTCAGAGATATCTGTCAGTGAGAATGGATCAAGGGAAGATCCTCAGTGAGGGCCTGGCCTAGAGCATCTGACAGAACAGAGGGCTGCTTCAGGCTACCAGCACCCCACACCTGGGGGCCACATGTGGAGATGAGGTCACAGTCACAGGGTGTGGCAGTGGGTGGGCCTACACATCAGTTCAGCTGGGGTGGATGTGTTATAGGTGGGTGGACTATGTGCATGAGTACTTACTTGGATATGGGAAGGGAGTTGGATCCAGTAGCATCCCCATATTCAACACATTCAATCTTTCCTCTAGATATTTGAATATGTAATATACGGTTTTTTAATTTATTTTCAGTGTAACAGAATTCATTGTTTTTTCACCACACCCAGTGTTCCGTACAATAAGTGTCCTCCATAATACCCACCACCAGGCTCCCCCAACCTCCCACCCCCACCCCTTCAAAAACCTCAGATTGTTTTTCAGAGTCCATGGTTCATCTCCCCCTTCAACTTCCCTCAACTCTCTTCTCTCCATCTCCCCATGTCCTCCATGTTGAATATGTAATGTAAGTTTTAATGCAATAAACTCCTTTACCATTTCCATCTCTTGTGGTACTGCTGGGTCAGTTTCTGTGGATTCTGCCCATCATTCACTATAGATATCACTGTTCCTTCTTCCACGGCATGTGGAGATAGTCATAGCAAATTTTACCTTAGAATTATTGAAAGTAATGTTTTGTAATGTTACATGTATTAGTATGTGTCTTATTATGGTTTGACATTAATTTGAGTCTTTTGATCCTTTTGGCTTTTGCTTTGAAGTTTCTTTGAGCTTACTGAGTAAAATATTCCCCAGGTTGTATGTTACTTTTTTTTTTTTTTCCCTCAAACCTGCTGGTGAGAGCAGAAGGTTCTGCTGATCACGTGTGAGACCCAGGAGTTGTTCCCACTAATCCTCTCTTTTGGTTCTTCCCTGGGATTTGGCAACATATGTGGTTAAATTCTCAGCTGAAGACAGAAGGGGCTGAGCTTATTTTTGTAGTTGGCATCATGCAGCCTGGGTGTGAACAAAAATGTTGCCAACCACTGCACTCACTTCTTTGATTATCTACCATAAATCCCCTTTAAAATCTCTTGGGTCAGGCAGAAATGTCCCTGTTGTATTTTAACAGGAGTGTGACTTCTGCACAGGTGGCTGACCTCCTGAATAAAGCTCACATTCTTTTCCAATCAAAACTCATCATTCAAAACTCATCTCTTGAATATTGGCCTTTCCAGCAATGGGCAGCCAAATTCAGGTTCAGGTAACAATAAACCAGAGAGTGGAACAGAACATCAAAAACTAATAAAATACTGTATGGTGACTAACATAACATAATAAAACAAACAAACAAACAAACAAACAAATAAATAAAAATAAATCAGAAAGTGGAATGGCACTTTCTAGGGGTTGGGAGGAGAGACGATGGGAAGTTGTATTTCAAGATGTAAGATTTTCTGTTATGCAAAATGATTAAGTCTGGAAGTTTCCTCCAAAACCCGTCCCTGTAATTAACAATACTGTGATATGCAGTTGAAATTTGGTTAAGAGGGTTGATCTCATATTTAGTGAGATCTTCGCTCAATACGAAAGTGAAAGACAAGAATTCTGCTTCTCTCATGAGAGCATACTGAGCTCCATGGGTATGGTCTCTATTGAAAATGTGAAAATCTTTATTACAAACTACTTACATATTTTGGATACTAGTCCATTATCAGATATGACATTTGCAAATATCATCTCCTATTCCAGAGGTTGCCTTTGCGTTTTGTTAATTATTTCCTTTGCTCTGTAGAAGTCGTTTCCTTTTTGTTTGTTAGCTTATTTTGTTCTGTTCTGTTTTGTCCTATTTTAATAATGATTAAGTCCAGAGAGTTTATTTTTTGTTCTGTTTCCCTTGTCTCTTGAGATGTATCTAGATAGAATTTGCACAGGTGTTGTCAAAAAGGTCACTTCCTGTCTTTTCCTCTAGGATTTTAATGGTTTCAGGTCTCACATTTAAGACTTTCATCCATCGTGGGCACCTGGGTGGCTCAGTGGGTTAAGCCTTTGCCTTTGACTCAGGTCATGATCTCAGGGTCCTGGGATCGAGCTCCACATCAGGCTCTCTGCTCAGCAGGGAGCCTGCTTCCCCCTCTCTCTCTGCCTGCCTCTCTGCCTACTTGTGATCTCTGTCTTTCAGACAAATAAATAAATAAAATCTTTAAAAAATAAGTCTTTCATCCATCGTGAATTTATTTTTGTGTAGGTTGTAAAAAAAGTGGACTAGTTTCTTTCTTACACATGTGACTGTCCACTTTTATCAACCCCATGTGTTGAAGAGACTGTCTTTTTTTTCCCCCTTGTTGGATATTCTTTCCTGCTTTGTTGAAGATTATTTGATCATATAGTTGTGGGTCAAATTCTGAGTACTCTATTCTGTCCCATTGATCTATGTGTCTCTTTCCATCCCAATATCACACTGTCTTGATAACTCTAGGATGGTGATATACCTTGAAATCCAGAATGGGGTGATACCCCAGCTGTGTTTTACTTTTTCAAGATTACTTTGGCTATTTGCAATCTTTTTGGTAGGACATTATGTTCACCTCTGAAAAATGCCAGTGATACATCAATAAGAATAGCACTGAATGAGTAGACTACTTGTGCTGTATACACATTGTTTATTTATTTTTATTTTTTCTAAGATTTTTAAATTATCTTTCAGAATAAGAGAAAGAAGAGTGCATGACCAGAGGGGAGCAGTAGGCAGAGAGCAAGGGAATAGAAGACTCTCCCCTGAATATGACACCAGACACAGGGCTCTATCCCTAGATCCTGAGTTCATTATCTAAACCAAAGGTAGATGCTTAACTGACTGAGACCCCCAGATGCCATGGGTAATACAGATTTTTTTAAAAGATTTTATTTATTTATTTGACAGACAGAGATCACAAGCAGGCAGAGAGGCAGGCAGAGAGAGAGAGGAGGAAGCAGGCTCCCCGCTGAGCAGAGAGCCCAATGTGGGGCTCGATCCCAGGACTCTGGGATCATGACCTGAGCCGAATGCAGAGGCTTTAACCCACTGAGCCACCCAGGCACCCCGTAATACAGATATTTTAAAAACAGATTTCTTCCAGTCTCTGAGCATGGAATGTTTCTCCATTTCTTTGGGTCAGCTTCAATTTTTTCTAATTTTATTTTATTTTTTCAGTGTTCCAAGATTCATTTTTTATGCACCACACCTAGTGCTCCATGCAATGTAAGCCCTCCTTAATACCCACCAGCAGGCTCACCTCAGCTTCAATTTCTTTCATTAGTGTGTTACAGGTTTCAGAGAACAGATCCTTTATAGCTTTGGTTAGGTACACTCCTATGTATCTTACTATATTTATTCAGTTTCAAATGGGATTGATTCCTTGATTTCACTCTGTGCTGCTTCAAAATGGGTGTATAGAAATGCAACTGAAGGGGCACCTGTGTGACTCAGTCAGTTAAGTGGCAGCTTTCGGCTCAGGTCATGATCCCATGGTCCTAGGATTGAGTCCTGCATCAGCTACTTATTCTGCAAAGACCCTGCTTCTCCGTCTCCCTGCCTCCACCCCTTTTTTTGTGCTCTCTCTCTCTCTTCCTGACAAATACATAAAAATCCTTAAAATTAAAAAAACGATAGAAATGCCACTTAATTTACTATGTTGAGTTTGTATCCTGCAACTTTACTGAATTCATTTATCAGTTCTAGCAGACACATTTGGAGGGGTCTTTGGGACTTTCTATATATACTATAAAACTGAACTCCAAAAAACAAATAATCCAATTAAAACAAAATGGAAAGAAGATACGTGTAGACATGTGTACAAGGGAAACTAACAGATATTCAACAGATACATGAAAAGATGCTCGTCACTTGGCATCAGGGAAATACAATCAAAACCATGAGATATCCAGTCACACGTCTCAGAATGGCTAAAATCGAGAACACAAGAAATGACAGGTGTTGGGGAGGATACAGAGAAGAGAGAACCCTCATGGACAGTTGGTGGGAGAGCAAAATGTTGCAGGAACTCTGGAAGACAGTATGGAGGTTCATCAGACAGTTGAAAATATAACTATCCTTTGATCAAGCAGTCACACTATGAATACTTACCCAAAGACTGCAGAAATTCAAAGGGAAACTTGCAGCCTGATGGTTATGGCAGCATTATCCCTAATAGCCAAGCCATGGTAACAGCTATGCTTATGTCCATGCACAAATGAATAGATAACGAACATGTGGTTTACATATACAGTAGCATATTAACCATAAGGAAAATGAAATTTTGTCATTTACCACAAATGGACGGAGATACAGACTCTTATACTAAGTGGAATAACACATTCAGAGAAAGAAAAGTAGCATCTTGCTTAAGGCATATGTGTAATTTAAGAAAGAAAACACAAGAGCAAATGTACGAGAGAGAGAGAGAGAGAGAGAGAGAGAGAGAGAGGAAAACCAAGAAACAGACTATAAGTTATAGAGAACAAACAGGGTTATCAGGTGGGAAGTGGGTAGGGGGATGGGTCACATAAGTTTTGAGGATTAGAGAGTGCACATGTTGTGATGAGCAGCAGAGGTTGTATGGAAGTGTTGATTTACTTCTTGAAAGTAATATCATATTGTACCCTAACAGGAATTTACATTCAAACTTAAAAGAAATGTATTTACAGGTTCTGGAAATGGACTTGGTGGCATACAGCACATAAAAAACATTTATTTCAGGAAATCTACTAACACAAGTAGTAGCTAGAATATTTGCAGTAAGGTATGCTCTTTTCCATCCCCATCCCAGCTCAGCACATGGAAACTCCACTCCATGCAGCTGGGACTACAGGTGTGTAACACGCAACACATCTGGCACCTCCACTCAAGACTGGTGCAGCCAAAACCTAGATTTCCATGTGCCCAGCTCCCATCAGAGAACTCTT